TTTAAAATTAAAAAAATATTAAAATAATAATAATAATAAGAGCAAACCAAATGATGAACAAAACCCAGGAACTTCAACTACGGGCGGGCCGGGCAGTATCTTGGGTCGGACCTGCTCAACGACCCGGCCACCGTGCAGAAGAACGCGACGGTTGCCTTCATGACGGCAATGTGGTTCTGGATGACGACGCAGCCGCCGAGGCCGTCGTGCCACGACGTGATCACCGGGCAATGGGTCCCATCGAGCAACGATACGGCGGCAGGCCGGCTGCCGGGCTTCGGGGTCATCACTAATATCGTCAATAGAGGGGAGTGCGGCCACGGCTACGACGGTAGAGTTGCCGGCAGAATTGGTTTCTATAGCCGGTATTGTCAGATATTGGGCACAGATACGGGCGATAACTTGGACTGCTATAATCAACAACCTTTTGATTGGGAGGACCCGAGCCCAACCCAACCCATTTGAGCCCGTTTAGAGGTTGAAAGGAGTTTTATACTTTTATCTAATGAATAAGAGAATGTAGTTAAGCCTTTGCAAGCTATATGATAGTGCAAGGCTTTGATAAATGTTATTTTGATTTTGTTATGCTTAGTTTTCATTTAAGAAATTTAATATGATACTTTTGGGGGATATTTACGTCAATTATTAAGACATATTCATACACATATAGCATATGCAATATTTGTATTTAAGAACTTTTAATTGATAGTCAAAACTCTCAACTAATAGATCAATATAAGCTGTGTAACTTGACATAGTTTCCTAAAGATGTGGAAGCGTGTAAGAATTTTTCGACACTGAGAAGGGGACCCTAAATCTTAATTATGAGAAGCTTTTATTTTTAAAATCAAATTACATCTCTTGTTTTTTTTTTTTTTTTTTGAAGTATGCAATATATTTATTTTCTTTAAAATTAATACAATGTAAAACAAATAGAATGTATTTGAAATATTTTGAAGTTATTTCAATAAGTGTAGAATAAATGCATTTTTTACTGAAAGTAAAAAATTAATGCAATATAAAGTGCAAAAATGATGGTGTTCGCGGGACTAGCGACGAACAATGATAATGGTAGAGAGTTTATAGTGCATTTGGAACTCCGTAAAATCTAGTAATTTTTAAATACACTAAAATTATATTATAGAGTAAACTTTAAATACTTGAAAATCTTGCTTTCCATTACATTTGCTTCAAATCAAGCATCAATTTTTTTAAAACTCTTACATTTAAAATACTTTACCCTCATTTTACTTCAAATCAAATAGCTCATAATTA